GGAACACTCTACGTGCATAACTCTGCCTTGGGATCCGGAAGTACTGTGAGGCCATTCATGTCATTAATTAAGGACATGCTATGTGACAAGGACACGGGATGGACAAGGTGCGATCCCTATTCGCAGCTCACATACTCCTTTTTTTTTGAGACAGAATTTCACTCTTGTAGCACAGATTGGAGTATAATGGCCCAATCGCAGCTCACTGCAACCTCCACCTCACAGGTTCAAGCAATTATTTTGCCTCGGCCTCCCAAGTAACTGGGATTACAGGCACCTGCCACCGCGCCCAGCTAATTGTTTGTATTCCTAGTAGGGACAAGGTTTCACCGTGTTGATTGGGCTGGTCTGGATCTCCTGAGCTCAGGGGATCCACCTGCCTCAGCCTCCCAAAGTGCTGGGATTACAGGCACCTGCCACCACGCCTGGCTAATTTTTTGTATTGTAATAAAGACGGGGTTCGCCATGTTGGCCAGGCTGGTCTGGAACTCCTGAGCTCAGATGATTCACCCGCCTGGGCCTCCCAAAGTGCTGGGATTACAGGGGTGAGCCACAGGGCCCAGCCTGTTTTCTATATTCTGTCCTTCCCCTGAGGAGGCAGTGGAATGACCCATCTGCTTTCTAGATGGGTGATTGGGGGTAAGTCAGTCCAGTTCTCTGAGCCTTATTCTGCAAAATAAGGATGAATATAGGAATGTTATCTAACATTTATTCAGTGCTTGCCTAGACCGAGCACTATTTTAAGTGCTTTTCATGTAGTAAGTCATTTAATCCTTCCAGCAATCCCTTCACAGATAAAGAAACTGAGGCAGAGAAAGAAGGTACACAGCTGGGAACTGGCAGGGCTGAATTCAAGCAAGCAAGAAGTTTTGCTTCAGAAGCTGCGTGCTTCACCCAAACACTCCACCACCTCTCTGGGGTTGTCCAACTCAAAGTGTTGCTGGCAGATTAAATGAAATTATATCAGAATTTCCCAGCACACAGTAGGTGTTTAATACATGCCAGTGTCTTTTACTGCTGCTTCTCCATGAATAACTGAGTGTGTCTCATAAATAGTTCTGAACGGCAGTATTATATTTCTGTAGAGTTAACTTCTCACTGGTAAATATTAAATCTACTTCCCAGCACAGATACAAGCCCAACTCAATCTGGGTGTATATTTCAACTGTTAATCAGTAAAACGAATGTTTTTGTCCTTAGAGTTGGTGTAAACATGGCTAGATGGTATCGGCCTTGCCTGATGGACTCTAACCAGGCAGGCTTTTACAGCTGAATGACGCAGGATCAAAACAAGGCCATTAGAAGTTGGACTTTGCCTGGAGTTCAGAGGGACCCTGTTGCTTTCCATTTAGGAACTCATGAGTCTTGAAGTCATAAAGCAACAACATAAAGCAAACTCCCAACTCTAGTTATTTGGGCAATTCATCCGGCTGTCCTCTGCAAGCTGTTCAGCCCACCAAATCTGTTTTGGGGAGTGTATTAAACATGGTTATATAATGATGAGGTGGGGGATGCCATGGACAGCTGGCCCTACGACAAGGTAAGTCTCATGTTTAGTGACTGGCATAGAAAGGAGGACAGTAGCTACCACTGGGTCGTGCTCTTCTTCTACGTGCACAATGGGAGCATCATCGCCAGGTCCCCAGTTTGTGCAGACTTCATGTGTAGATGGTGGCCATATGAAAACTGACATGTGGCCAGGTGCAGTGGCTCACACCTGTAATCCCAGCACTTTGGGAGGCCAGGGAGTGGGGGGATCACTTGAGGCCAGGAGTTCAAGACCAGCCTGGCCAACATGGCAAAACCCTGTCTCTACTAAAAAATACAAAAATTAGCTGAGTGTGGTGGCAGGCGTCTGTAATCCCAGCTATTCAGGAGGCTAAGGCAGGGAATCACTTGAACTCAGGAGGCAGACGTTGCAGTAAGCCTAGATTGCACCACTGCACTCCAGCCTGGGCAACAAAACAAGGCTCCGTCTAAAAAAAAAAAAAAAAAAAAAAAAGGCTGGGCACAGTGGCTCACATCTGTAATCCCAGCACTTTGGGAGGCTAAGGAGGGCAGATTAAGAGGTCAGGAGTTTGAGACCAGCCTGGCCAACATGCTGAAACCCCGTCTCTACTAAAACTACAAAAATTAGCCAGGTGTGGTGGCAGGCACCTGTAAACCCAGCTACTAGGGAAGCTGAGGCAAGAGAATGGCTTGAACCCGGGAGGTGGAGGTTGCAGTGAGCTGAGATTGCACCACTGCACTGCAGCCTGGATGACAGAGCAAGACTCCATTATGGAAAAAAGAAAGAAAACTGACATGCTACAAACCAGCCTAAGCATCTAAATTATTTACATAATTAGTCTCTTTGAACTCCAGGCATGGCAGGGAGAGGAGGGCAAAACCCAGACAGGAAGAAAAGCCACTCAACAAGAGACAAACATGGTTAAATCACCAGGTGCTTTAACCAAGTTTTCAACAACTGCATGTTTCCTTCTATCTACTCAGCTGCTGAGTCCAGAATTGGAAGTCATGGTTGAGAAACTTTTCTTTGCCTAAAAAGCTGGTGGGAGGAGGAGGAGGGAACAGAAGAAGAGACTGTTTATTATTGCATTTTTCTTCATTTGTTAGAATGAATGATGTGCTCATTACAAACTTTTTAAACAATATTAGAAGGTTATCATGTTGAAAGTGGAGTACTTACTGTCCCATCTGCCCCTCTCAGCCCAGTGCTCTCCCAGCACTGCTCACGACTTACAATGCATGTTTTATTATTTATTTATGAGATGGAGTCTCACTCTGTTGCCCAGGCTGGATTGCAATGTTGCGATCTCTGCTCACTGCAACCTCTGCCTCCTGGGTTCAAGCAATTCTCCTGCCTTAGCCTCCTGAGTACCTGGGATTACAGGTGCCTATCACCATGCCCAGCTACTTTTTGTATTTTTAGTAGAGATGGGGTTTCACCATGTTGACCAGGCTGGTCTTGAACTCCTGACCTCAAGTGATCCACCTACCTTGGCCTTCCAAAGTGCTGGGATTAGAGGGGTGAGCCAATGCGCCCGGCCAACATGTATTTTTTTAAAAACACAAATAAGATCACACAGAACTACACTATTCTGTGACTTGCTTTTTGTTTTCCTTACCTACCTCATGGTCTTTTCCAAAGATCTAATTCAATCTCATTCTTTTTAAAGGTTCCATGTAAACCACAATAGGGCTCTACCAACATTTACTTAACCATGTGGCCCAGTAATAGAAACTTAGATTATTCCCAGTTTTTCCTTTTCTTCTTTTATTTTTTTGAGATAGGATCTCACTCTGTCACCCAGGCTAGAGGGCAGTGGCACAGTAATGGCTCTGCAGCCTTGAACTTCTGGGCTGAAACAATCCTCCTGCCTCAGCCTCCCAAGTAGCTAGGACCACAGGCTTGCACCACTGTATCCAGCTAATTTTTTAATTTTTCTTTTTTAGAGATGTGGTCTTACTATGTTGACCAGGCTGGTTTCGAACTGCTGGCCTCAAGCAATCCTTCCACCTCGGCTTCCCAAAATGCTGGGATTTACAGGTATGAGCCATCATGCCCGGCCTAGTTTTTGTGATGTTGGAAATATTGCAGTGAACATCCTTATATGTACACTTCAGTATTTGTTAATTATTGCTATATTCTGATTGTGTCACCCCAAAAGTCGTATGTTGAAACCTAATTTCCAATGTGATGATATCTGGAGGTGGGAACTTTGGGAGGTGATTAGGTCGCAAGGGTGGATCCCTCATGAATGGGATTAGTGCCCTATAAAAGGGATTTCAGAGAGCTCCCTCACCTCCTTTGCCATGAGAGACCATAGCAAGAATAAGCCTGTCTATGAACCAGAAAACAGGCCCTTCTAGACCATGAACTCACTGGCGCATTGATCCTGGACTTCCCAGCCTCCAGAACTATGAAAAATAAATGTGGCTTGAGCCATCCAGCCTGTGGCACTTTTATTATAGCAGCCCGAGTGAACTACGACAATTATGTTTAGAATTGTTGTTAAAGGCAGAACTGCCAATATATTCACCACCCAAATCTAAAGGCAACTCCCATTTTCTAAGAAGCAGCTTTGCCATCTATTGCATGGGTTTGGGTGATTCTCAAAGCTTGGGGTGCCTTAGAATTACCTGGGAAGCATAAACAAACAGATGCCCAGGTTCTACCAGATTCAACAAGGATTGGGCACTTATATTTTTGTTCTTTTCAGACAGGATCCCACTCTGTCACCCAGACTGCAGTGCCACGGTGCAATTTCAGCTCACTGCAATCTCTGCCCCTCGGGCTCAAGTGATCCTCTCACCTCAGCTTCCCGAGTAGGTGGGACTACAGGCATGTGCCCTACACTTAGCTAATTTTTTGCATTTTTAGTAGAGATGGGGTTTCACCATGTTGCCCAGGCCAGTCTCAAACTTCTGGTCTCAAGTGATCTGTCCACCTCGGCCTCCCAAAGTGTTGGGATTACAGGCGTGAGCCACTGTGCCTGGACTTTTACTGCTTATGTGGTTGACTTTAGTTGTTTGGGGGCAGCTCTCAGGTACTACCCTAACTGGTACATGACAGAAGCCCTAACACATTTCCTGTCCTTGGTGGAGATGTGTGATTTTAGCTCAGGGATAAGGGGTTGAAACAATGCGTTTGCTCTGTGTGCGCTCTGCTGGTACTGCATGAGCAGACCGCACATGGAATACCTGCAGGAGTGAGAATCTGGCATCTCACCTCCCAAGACAAGCCCTTGTAGACTTAACAGCGTGGTGACTTAAGAGTGTGGTGAGACTTCAGGGGCAGCGATGGTCAATCCTGGCTGCATATTAGAATCACCCAGGGAACCGTGAAAATGGAAATGCCTGGTCATGAGCTTCGACAATGGGGTTTTAAAAACACTCTCCAGGAGATTCTACAAATAAGCCAGTGTTAAGAACCTATTCTTTAGGCAGAAAATTGGCCCAGGAACACAAAGTTCACAGAAGCACATAACACTCTGGTGTCTTCTGTTCTAGTTGTTTATTTCAGAAATTCCCAGCCTGCCTAAATCTCAGAATTGGCTTCAAGTGGGTCAAAAAGATAAATCCTGGGGACCTACCCCAGACATAATCAGAATATCCCAGGGTGGGACTCACTCACGTCATTTCTCACAACTAGCCCAACAAAGAGAGAATTTCTGGTTTCAATGAGGTTAAGGTGAAATCATTAGGAATTCTTAAGACATTTTTTAGCCACAGGCTATATATCTTCATGGGAAAAAGATTCACAGTCACTGAAGGAACTGACAGGCAGGTGAAGGTGAAGTATAGAAGGAACGAACAGCCATGTGTAACTGCTGTGTACGCGTCTCTTCTATATAATTGAATCTTCACCATACTTCTTGAGCATAAATAGTACAACCTGTTATACAGGGAAGACACTGAATGGAAGGCAGTTAGTTCTCTTTGCAGGTATCCAGGGAGAAAGCTTTCCAGGCAGACGAACTGTCAATGCAAAGACTTTGAGGCTGGATCATCCTTGATTACTGGAGAACAGCAAGGCCAGCGTGACCTGGGGAAATGATCTCCACAGAGTTGCGGATGAGGGAGGAAAGGGGAGGGTGGATTAGGCCATCAACCTTCATAGCACAGTGAGGTGATTGTATTTTTAAGGATCGCTTTGACTGCTGTCAAAACAGACTGGCGAGTGAGGCAAGATGCAAGCACAGGATAGAAGCATCACAGTGAAAGGCCGGGTGCAGTGGCTGATGCCTGTAACCCCAGCACTTTGAGAGGTCAAGGCAGGCGGATCACCTGAGGTCGGAGGTTTGAGACCAACCTGACCAACATGGAGAAACCCTGTCTCTACTCAAAATACAAAATTAGCCAGGCGTGGTGGCTCATGCCTGTAACCCCAGCTACTTGGGAGGCTGAGGCAGGAGAACTGTTTGAACCCTGGAGGCAGAGGTTGCGGTAAGCCAAGATCTTGCCATTGCACTCCAGCCTGGGCAACAATAACGAAACTCCTTCTCAAAATAACAAAAAAGATATATTTGTTAGGTGTATCTTGCTATGGTTAAGAAAAATGAAAGGCCATACAATAAAATATTGTTACTGACTTTTGAGTGGCGAAATCATAAAGGTCGCGCCTTCCTTCCTCTTGACTGTGTTACGGATTGTATAATGAACATATTATTAATTATGCAGAGCAGTGTATATAACTGGCTTTAGTTTATAAAACAGTGTACCAGCATACGTCCATCTGGCTTTATTACACTGCAGGGCCATCCAAAGCAAGAGTCTCTAGACCTCTGGGTGGGGTTTTGTGCTCACCTGGATGACATCTCTGCTCATTGATGTGTAGTTAACAGTCCCTTCTGGCAGTCCCTTCTGCCGCTGGACATGTGAGGGGGCACAGCACAGAGTTCTGGATGTCGCTAGTGACTGCTCAAAGTCTTTCTCCATGCTGAAACCTCTATACAAATGCTTAATATCTGCTCTGGGCTGTTGAGTCCGCAAAAATTTTGATATTTATTGTTTATTCCCACACCCATCCCATGCAACAAGAAGGACTTTCCATTTTATAGATGGAGGTTCAAAGAGGCTCAATAACCTCTTTGCCAGGACAAGTAACAGAACTGAGACTTCTGGCTCCAAATTCTACACTCCCCTGCCACACCTCTTTGCCTTCCCATTTCACAGCAATGGACTGTCTGGGTGACCTTGGCATAGGTTCCTTTAATAACTGGCTCCTAACAGAAACTTCCGGCCATTATCTGACTGAATGTCACACACAAGTGCTATCAGAACTTGCACTTAGCCAGGTGCGGTGGCTTACACCTGTAATCCGTGCACTTTGGGAGGCCGAGGCAGATGGATCAAGAGGTCAGGAATTTGAGACCAGCCTGGCCAACATAATGAAACCCCGTCTCTACTAAAAATACCAAAAAAGTTAGCCAGGTGTGGTGGCGAGCACCTGTAGTCCCAGCTACTCAGGAGGCTGAGGTGGGAGAAGCGCTTGAACCTGGAAGGCGGAGACTGAATAAGCTGAGTTCACACCACTCCAGCTTGGGGAAAAGAACGAACTCCATCTCAAAAAATGAAAAGAAAAAAAAACAACTTGCATTTAGAGCCTTTTTCCTAAACCTGGACACCAAATCTCACCTTGTAAATTTCTACATCACAAAACACATGTTCCCAGGGGCCCAGGAAAGTCTCCAAGTACTCAATCCCCTTTCTTCAATCTTGCGCACACCCTCGGCCTTCCTGTCAATCCAGGCAACCCAGAATTACCCAGAGGTCCAGCTCCCAGTTGTTTACTTGAATATCTGCAGCGCCCCAAACACCTGTGTGAAACACTCTTTGTCCAGGATGCGTCCGTGGCGCAGGGTGAGGTAGAAGGTCTGTTTCCCACTGTACTGCTGGATACGCATGAACAGCTCCTCAGGGCAGTCCTTGGTTTCTGTCAGGGGTATCACATCTTCCACGGGACAGTATGTGTCCTGCCGCCAGCCCCAGAAGTTCAGGTGGGCCACCCGCAGTATGGTGCCAGACTCGTTCAGATACAGGATGCCAACCAGTCTCCGAAGGAAATAGCTCATCCAGCAGAGCATGGCCAGAGCAAAGCATGACACCCCATTCATGATGCAAAGGGACTTGAGAGTCAGGAGGCCCTGGGAGTACCAGTAATAGCCTGGTGGCAAAGCTATCACTGTCAGGGCAGTCTGTGCCAACTTCAGTCGAGACAGGTACCCGAAGGATCTGATGGCATCAAAACGGTAAAACATCCGGAATTTCTCAGTCTCTGTGTCTGGTGGTTTCTCCTTTGAGGTGGGTGACGTGCTCCCCAGCCACCTCTTAGGATCCTCCTGCCCTCTGCAGCACCACCACAGCCCATGGAGAGGCCGTCCCCATGCAGTTTTTCCTGGAAACCTAGGCACAGCTCGGAGAAGGGCAGCCTGAAAGGGAGATAGTAGACCATTTCTCTTATGGAACTCAACCACATTAATCACACGGTAAACATCTGCAAAGCATCTCACTCCAAGGCTTTTGCCAATCCTGCAAGGTCACCATTATTGCCAGAGAAGGAAAGGGTAAAGCCAGATGCTACCTCATGTGAGCAACACAACAGCTACCTAAGATAGGTATCCCTATTTCCACTTTACCACTAGGGAAACTAAGCCCAGAGAGGGTAAGATGTTTACCCAAACATAGTCAGTGAGTGCAGCAGAGTCCGACTCTCAAACCGGGCCTCTTTTCACCAGGCAATTCCAAATAAATATAGGAAAAGAGGTACAGCCTTCATTAACTCACAACCTATCTAGGCAGGACCAACTCTGGGCTGGACAATGGATCCAAAAGGGGTTGTGAACATTTCCCCAAGCAGGATACTAAATAATCAGTGTCTTAGTGGGGAACTTGAGCAACAAATCTGTGAAATATTTATCCCAATTAACTTTCCAATTCTGTTTGATTTATATGTCATCTTGGGTGCTAGAGGAAACTGCTGCTTTCTTAGCCTAGTCTGGGGAAGCAGAAATAGCAGAGGAGGAGGAGAGAAGCAGGAAGGCCCCAACACATAGCACAAGGATATTATTAGGTGAGTAACGAGGCAGTAAAAGTTCTGGTTCCGGTTCTGGCTCCAACAGTCACTGCCTGTGGATTCTTGAGCAAATTACTTCCTTCACACCCCTGAGCTTCCGTTTCTTCACCTTTCAAAATGGGGACTCAGAACACAGTGAACCAGAAGATGGTTTAGAGCCCTCAACTTAGTACCTGATGCACTGTGAGAGCCTGGCCAGTTTTAGCGAGTACTACTGCTGCGCACGTGACCCAAGGAGGTCAGAGAAAGCCGGGGGAATGGCGAACTGTAACCCACGCTGAAGCCTCCTACTAGGGATTCTCCGAGTCCGACAGTAGGGCGTCTTGTCTGCCTGCCCCAGCTCAGACCCCGATCCCCAAAACAAGGCTCGTCACCCGCCTCCTTACCATTGTCCCACCGCCTGCTGCCGGAAGTAAATGCCACCGGTCCCCGGAACCTCTAAGAGGGCATGCTCGAACGTACAAGGCGGGCGTGACCGCGTTGCACTCTGGGAGTTGCGGTCCAGGAATCGTGGCTGGCGCTAGTCCCAGGCATTGTGGGAACAGAGTCTCGTCTTCCCGACGTGCCCTGCAGCTCGGGGGCCGAACCCGGAAGTTCCGGGCTGAGCTCCTGGTGCCAACGAGTCTCGTCAGGAGCAGCTAGAAACTGGGGATATGGCAGGTCCCGGCCCAGCGCTCTGCCTCTTCGACGTGGATGGGACCCTCACCGCTCCGCGGCAGGTAAGTGGCGGTAGCAGCCGAGACGGAGCCCGTGCTGTTCCCAGTTGAAGTTATCGACCACCCAGGGTGGGCGCCAAGGGGTAGCTGAGGACCGCAGAAGTGTTCATGGGGGCTGAACCCTACTCGGGGTGTCCTGGAGGAATGAGAGTGAAGCTCTGACCAGCTCTTCAAGAGCTCTTGGTGCTTGGAGAGATGAGACGGGGCTGAAGAACTCCTAAGAGCAAGAAACTTGTGCTGGGTCGGAAAATGCAATCTGGATTCACGGCTGGTCCTCGGGACTGTTGGACCAGGATTTGTACCCGAGATCAAGCCCCCTTTTCAGCTATGTTACAGACATTCTCAGTCCTGTAACCAATGAGCTGTGCCGTGAATAATATTTTTAAAAGGTTTCCAGGTCAAACCGACCTAGTGGAGTCTCGTCTTCACCTCTTGACAGCTGTGTGACCTTGAGCAAGTCATTAATGTCTCTGAGCTTCAGCATCTACCGCTTTTTTTTTTTTTTTTATAGGAGTTTTCGCTTTTGTCTCCCAGGCTAGAGTGCAATGGGGCGACCTCGGCTCACTGCTGTAACCTCCGCCTCACAGGTTCAAGCAATTCTCCTGCCTCAGCCTCCGAAGTAGCTGGAATTACACGCACCTACCGCCACGCCCGGGTCCTACCTCAGCCTCCCAAGTAGCTGGGATTACAGGCACCTGCCGCCACGCCCGGGTCCTGCCTCAGCTTCCCAAGTAGCTGGGATTACAGGCACCTGCCACCACGCCATGCTAATTTTTATATTTTTAGTAGAGACAGGGTTTCACCATGTGGACCAGACTGGTCTCAAATTCCTGACCTCAGGTGATCACTCGCGTCAGCCTCCCAAAGTGCTGGGATTACAGGCATGAGCCACCACGCCTGACCTCATCTTCAGCTTTAAATGGGGATATTACCCCCTGTGCCATATGGTGTCTGTGAGGTTCAGATGAGATTACATAAATTCTTGAAATTATATTGCACATAACACACTAGGCTTCAATAAACAGCCACCTCCACCGCACCCATCTCCAGCCCCTGCAGTGGACTCGGGAAATGGAGGACCCCTAGGTTATTAAAGGCTGCCTGCTGAGACCCTCTTTAGGGCCTTGGAAACGTGCTTTCCACTTCCAGATATTGCTGCTGCAGGCACAGATAAGTTTCAGTTACAATCACCCTTGAGATGAGGCTCTTCTGTCCCCTTTTCAGAAATTGGTCACTGCACACCGGCCATTTGAACTTGAGACTGGACCCTAGTGGCCTCACTGTCCTCACTTTCTACCCTCATCCCTCGTAGTTTTTCGCTGGTGGTAATGGTGGTGTGCTCCAGAAGTCCACGTCAAATGCCCATGACCTTAGACATCAGTTGCACTTCTCAGTCACAGGTTTGATCCACCTAGTGCTGACACTCAACTCCCAAGTTCCTCAACGGCTTTTACTGACTGAGATTCAGCAGTCACACACTTGTGTGTTGTTAAAAGCCCATAGTGCAAGCCGGACAGGTAGTCTCAGCACTTTTGGTGGCTGAGGTGGGTAGATTGCCTGAGCTTAGGAGTTCACGACCAGCCTAGGCAACATGGTGAAACCCGTCTCTACTTAAAAAAAAAAAAAAAAAACAATTACAAAAAGTTAGGTGTGGCCGCATGCGCCTGTAGTCCCAGCTACTAGGGAGGCTGAGGCAAGAGAATTGCTTGAACCTAGGAGGTGGAGATTGCAGTGAGCCAAGATCATGCCAGGTTGGGAAACTGAGGGAGACACCCTCTCAAAAAAGCCCATAGTGGTTTAAAACTGCAGTCCCTGATGCATTTTTATATAGCGGATCCTTTTGTCTTTGCAGACCATATGGCCTATAGTAACCACTCAGCTTCAGTGCACAACCAGCCATAAACCCTATAAAAACTAGTCTGGCCAACATGGCAAAACTCTGTTTCTACTAAAAATACAGAAATTAGCCAGGCATGATGGCAGGTGCCAGTAATTCCAGCTTCTTGGGAGGCTGGGGCAGGAGCTGGGCGTGGCAGCAGGTGCCTGTAATCCCAGCTACTTGGGAGGTTGGGGCGGGAGCTGGGCGTGGTGGCAGGTGCCTGTAATCCCAGCTACTTGGGAGGCTGAGGCAGGAGCAATAAAATTTTATTTGTTACAAAAACCAGCAGCTGCCGGATTTGGTCTGTGGGCCGTTGTGGTCTAGGATTTACATTGCCGACTCTTTTCCTTGGTATCACTGGACCCTCTCAGCCTTCCTCCATCTTTTTTCCCAGGTAGAATAGTTATTACTATTGTAAACATAAGGAAACAGACCCAGTGAAGACCAACCTCCTCAGTTTTACATAGCCGACCTTATACAAGTCCCTGGGCCTCAGGACATTGGTTCTTGTCAACTTTGCCAATTCCTGTCCGTGCTAAGGTGGAAGCTGTGCTAGTCAGTGGGTATGCCATTCAGGAACATGCTTCTGATTTTCACAGTTCTAACTTTTTTTTTTTTTTTTTTTTTTTTTTTTTTTTTTTTTTTGAGGGAGTCTAGCTCTGTTGCCCAGGCTAGATTGCAGTGGCACGATCTTGGTTCACTGCAACCTCTGCCTCCCAGGTTCAAGTGATTCTCTGGCCTCAGCCTCCCAAGTAGCTGGGACTACAGGTGAGGGCCACCATGCCCATCTAATTTTTGTATTTTTAGTAGAGACAGGGTTTCACCATGTTGGCCAGGCTGGTCTCTATTTCCTAACCCGGTTGATCTGCCCACCTCTGCCTCCCAAAGTGCTGGGATTACAGACATGAGCCACTACATTCTGAGTCTTAAAGACTACTCCTAGATTTTGTCCAATAGGTCCAGATTCCACTGTGAGAGGTAGAAAAGATTGCACTCTATTACAAACCTGTCTGTACAATTTTAATCAAATTCATGTATTACTCTTAAAAAAATTTTTTTTAATCATTGGACTCCAAGTGTTCTTAAACTGAGGTTGAATTAAATGGCTTTTTGTATTTTCTAAATTTCTAGAAACTTTTTAAAAGAGATACTCAGCTGGGCACCATAGCTCATGCCTGTAATCCCAGCATTTTGGGAGGCCGAGGTCAGGAGTTTGAGACTAGCCTGGCCAACATGGTGAACTCCTGTCTCTACTAAAAATACAAAAAAATTAGCCAAGTGTGGTGATGGGCACCTGTAATCCCTGCCACTTGGGAGGCTGAGGCAGAAGAATTGCTTGAACTGGGGAGGTGGAGGTTGTAGTGAGCTGAGACCACCACTGCATTCTAGCCTGAGTGACAGAACAAGACTCCGTCAAAAAAAAAAAAAAAAAAAATTCAGTGTAAATGTACCACTCAAGGTACTGAGTTATAAGACTTGTAAAAATACCTAGGGGAGGGTCAGCGAGGTGTGGGGAAGTTGGGGAGGGATAACATGGGGAGAAATGCCAGATAGAGGTGATGGGGGGAGTTGCCATGTATGTACCTAAGCAACAATCCTGCATGATCTGCACATGTACCCCAGAACCTAAAGTACAGTTTAAAAAAAATTGTGATGTGTCTTAATGTAGGGCTATTTTTTCTTTTTCTTTTAATTATTTATTTATTTTAAAGATGGGGCTTCACCCTGATGGCCAGGCTGGTCTTGAACTCCTGACCTCAGGTGATCCACCCACCTCGGCCTCCCAAAGTTGTAGGATTACAGGCGTGAGCCACTGCACCCGGCCTAGGGCTATTTTTTCATCTTAGTTTACAACTTTTTAAAATCACCACACAGTCTGGAATGTACTGTAAGATTATACCATTAAGATCACTCTTTCTAGATAGGTGCTTTTAGAAGAGACTAAAAATTCTAGTCATCTTACTCTTTTACATTTTTTTGTTTTGGGCAATAAATCAGTTCTGAGCTTCCTCTTTAATCTCATTGTTAATTTGTTTAAAAATCAACAACTTGGGCCAGGCACTGTGGCTCACGTCTGTAATCCCAGCACATCGGGAGGCCGAGGCAGGCAGATGAGGAGGTCAGGAAATAGAGACCATCCTGGCCAACATGGTAAAACCCTGTCTCTACTAAAATACAAAAGAAATTAGCCGGGCATGGTGGCATGTGCCTATAGTCCCAGCAACTTGGGAGGCTGAGGCAGAGGTTACAGTGAGCCGAGATCATGGCACTGTACTCCAGCCTGGCATCCAGAGCAAGACTCTGTCTCAAAAAAAAAAAAAAAGAAAAAAAATTTAAATCCATAAATTGTGTATAGTGTAGTATTTAAAAGGAAGGGTGAGTTAGATCTGTGTTGCATGAAAAGCTCGCCATAACATAGTGCTGAGAAAGCAAGTCACTGCACAGTACATAGAATGATTCCATTTATGTTCCAAAAATAAGGCCTATTTCTATATGTGCCCATAGATGAGTCTTATAAATGCATAGAAAAATAACTGGGACATTGCAGAACAGCTACTAATCTATTACCTGTGTGTTTAAAGTTTGGCAAAAATAACAAGTTTATTCTGGTAAAAATGCCTCCAAATTACAACTGAAATATTTGAACTGTGTACATTGCTGGTAACTGAATTGGCATGTATGAAAATAAGGCTTGTAGGCCTGGCTCATGCTTGTAATCCTAGCACTTCAGGAGGCCAAGGTTGGCAGATCTCCTGAACCCAAGAGTTCCAGACCAGCCTGGGCAACATGGCAAAACTTTGTCTTTACAAAAAATTTAAAAATTAGCCAGGTGTGGTGGCACATACCTGTGGTCCCAGCTACTCAGGAGGCTGAGGTAGGAGGATCACCGGAGCCCAGGGAGGTCGAAGCTACAGTGAGCTATGACTATACCACTGCCCTCCAGCTTGGGTGGCAAGTGAGACTGTATGCCAAAAAATTTTTTTTCTTTAATTTTTAAAGAAAAAAATAAAACTTGTGTAATTGTGTTACCCTTAGAGTTTTTGTCACCGGATTATTTTGTGGCTAATGACTGTTGTGTTCTCCTTCTTGAAATTTAGAAAATTACCAAAGAAATGGATGACTTCCTGCAAAAATTGAGGCAGAAGATCAAAATCGGAGTAGTAGGCGGGTCGGACTTTGAGAAAGTACAGGAGCAACTGGGAAATGATGGTAAGTGATAAGTTGCTGATTGTATCTGGTAGAACATTAACTTCTTATGAGGATATTGTGGCTGAATATCATAGGCTGCCCTGAATTCTTGTTCCCATATGGCAGACTTTCTGCTTCCTTGTTTGGGAAACATTTTCGTTTTTTATTTTTATTTTTTTTAATTTTTGGAAACATTTTCTTCATCTTTATTTTTCCTCTGCTTTTAATCCAGTAAATTTCAAGATTTACTGATGGAGAACTGGGTGCTCAGATGTGTAGGTAGATTCACCTAGGAAGGTCAGCTGCTGTGTCTTTGCACATGGTAATCTCTCTGCCTGGAATAATTCTTACTTGTACCCATTCACTGCCCTTCTAGCCTTAGTCCGGCCGGTCTTCATATTGTCCCTCTGACAGCCTCTCTCACCTCCCCACCACTGGAACAGAATTGTCAACACAAGACCCTGGAAAACTGGAGAAGCTTATTGACCCCTTTACTGGAGATTCTGACTTGATAGGTCTATGGGGCCTGGGAATCCTATCTTAGCAAGTACCTCTGAGAGATTCTGGTGCACAACCCTGCTAATGTAGCATTCTGTAATTATTGCAAACTATATGATGATACGTTTTTAAAGAGCAAGAGTATGGATTATTCATCTCCATAGCCCCAGGACCTCTTGGCCTATAAGAAATTGTAAGTGTGTCGGGCATGGTGGTGGTGGCTCACGCCTGTAATTCCAACACTTTGGGAGGCCAAGGCAGGCAGATCACGAGGTCAAGTCACTAACATGGTGAAACCCCGTCTCTACTAAAAATACAAAAAATTAGCCAAGTGTTGTGGCATGAGCCTGTAATCCCAGCTACTCGGGAGGCTAAGGCAGGAGAATCGCTTGAACCCAGGAGGCGGAGGTTGCAGTGAGTCGAGATTGTGTCCCTGCACTCCAGCCTGGGCGACAGAGCGAGATTCCATCTCAAAAAAGAACAAAAAAAAGTAAGGGCAGAGATGGATGAATTGATTGTTCTTTTATCCCCTGTTGTCCCCAGAGTTCTCACATCTTGGAACCAGCTCCTCTAGAGCAAGATTTCTCAACCTCTGCACTCTTGATATTTTGGACCAGTTAGGGCTGTCCTGTGCTATGTAGGGTATTTAGCAACATCCCGGGCCTCTACCCACTGCGTGCCCGCAGCACACACACATGCACACATACAGCTATGACAACCAAAAATGTCTCCAGACATTGCCAAATGACCTCCTTGTAAAATCATCCCCATTTGAGAGCTGCTATTATAAATATACCTTTTTTTTTGAGACAGAGTTTTGTTCTTATTGCCCAGGCTGGAGTTCAATGGCGCAATCTCAGCTCACTGCAACCTCTGCCTCCCAGGTTCAAGCAATTCTCCTGTTTCAGCCTCCCGAGTAATGAATTACAGGCACGTGCCACCATGCCGGGCTAATTTTGTATTTTTAATACAGACAGGGTTTCTCCATGTTGGTCAGGCTGGTCTCAAACTCCTGACCTCAGGTGATCCACCCACCTCAGCCTCCCAAAGTGCTGAGATTATAGGCGGGAGCCACTGCGCCTGGCCTGTAAATAAATCTGTGTAGACCGTATTTACTGGATCACCATTACTAGAAGACTTAGCTCTGCAATCCCTTTGAAACTGTTACACTTCCACTTCGTTTCCCAAGTAAGTCTCCTATTTAGAAATGCTGTAAACCATATACTGGGGATCATGAAGCCCTGAGAATCCTGTCACCTGCTCATGATTGCTCCTTCTGCGTCTAGTTTTCTGTTTAACCAGTTGCTCAGGGAAGTTTTGTGTCAGCATAACAGTGTCTGTTATTTTCAGAGACACGCAACAACAGAATCAAAACATTCACAAACCAAAAGATGGTTGAAGGCCCACCTGTATCAGAATCACCTGGGAACAGAATTTTATTAAAATACCAGTGTGGGGACCCCACCCAACACATGGGGGATCTGCATTTTAACAGGTACCTAAAGTTTGAAAATCCCTTCATTCAGGTTGACAGCATGGATAGTTTCCAAACCAGACTGATAATAAGAATCACCAAAGAGATTTTTTTTTTTTTTTTTTTTGAGACGAAGTTTCGCTCTTGTTACCCAGGCTGGAGTGCAATGGCGCGATCTCACACAGCTCACCGCAACCTCCGACTCCTGGGTTCAGGCAATTCTCCTGCCTCAGCCTCCCGAGTAGCTGGGATTACAGGCACGCACCACCATGCCCAGCTAGGTTTTTTTTTTTTTTGTATTTTTAGTAGAGGCAGGGTTTCACCATGTTGGGCAGGCTGATGTCAAACTCCTGACCTTGGCCTCCCAAAGTACTGGTAGAACAGGCGTGAGTCACTGCGCCTGGCCACCAAAGCGTTTTTTGTTTGTGATGGAGTCACAGACTATTGCCTGGCCTGGAGTACAATGGTGTGACCTCAACTCGCTGCATTCTTTGCCGCCCAGGTTCCAGTGATTCTCCCACCTCAGCCTCCAGAGTAGCTGGTATTAGAGGCGCCCACCACCACACCCAGCTAATTTTTATATTTTTAACAGAGACAGGATTTCACTGTGTTGGCCAGGCTGGTCTCGAACTCCTGACCTCATGATCTGCCCACCTCAGCCTCCAAAAGTGCTGAGATTACAAGCATGAGCCACCACACCCGGCCCAAAGAGCTTTTTAAAAATATATGTAGCCTGTCCCTTGGTGATTCTGATTCAGGAAACCGGAGAGCAGAGCTTGGAAATTGCATTTTCACTCACTGCCCTGGTTGCTGCTGGTGAACCATCAGCATCATGGACCAGCATCTTCCTCTACAGATGAGCAGGCTGAAGTCAGGGACACATGATAATCTGTCACCAAATCTCTTATCTCCTGCCCAGTTATCATAGTTGAAATGTGTAACCAAAAAGAGCCATTAAAAAAATAATAAGGAAGGTTTTTCTATACTCTTCTCTGAATTTGTTTTGATGAGATAGTCTTTCACAGTCCTTATTAGAGTTTAGCAGTTTTGTTGGTAGTCATTGTTAATCGAGGAGTAGAAACACAGGTTTTGATTCATTGCATTCTAAGTGTTTTTTTTGTTGTTGTTTTGATTGTAGTGCTTGAAAAATATGATTATGTGTTTCCAGAAAATGGCTTGGTAGCATACAAAGATGGGAAACTCTTGTGTAAACAGGTAGGTACTTGAGTTACTATGTTCTATTAAGTGTATTCTAAAAGGGCATTTCACATTGAATGCCTCGGGGAGATGAGGAATGGGGTAGAAATGAATCTTCACTCTGTATTCTTTGTTCTGAATGTTGAACTATGTGACTATTACATATTCTAAATTAATAACTAAATTTTTATACTTTTAAAATCTAATGTGTCTTTCTTTTTTTGTTTTGTTTTTGAGACGAAGTCTTGCTCTGTTGCCCAGGCTGGAGCTGGAGTGCAATGGCACAATTTTATCCCACTGCATCCTCCGCCTCCCTGATTTAAGCAATTCTTGTGCCTCAGCCTCCCCAGAAGCTGGGATTACAGGCGCATGCCACTATGCCCAACTAATTTTTGTATTTTTAGTAGTGTCTGGGTTTTACCATGTTGGCCAGGCTGATCTTTAATTCCTGACCTCAAGTAATCCATCCACCTCGACCTCCCAAAGTGCTAGGATTACAGGCATGAGCCACCGTACCCAGCCTTTTCTTTGTTTTTAAAGGAGGGAGTCTTGCTGTGTTACCCAAGCTGGAGTACAGTGGTGCAATCCTAGTAGCCTAGAACTCCTGGGCATAGGTGATCTTCCTGCCTCAGTCTCCCAAGTAGCAGGGTCTAAAGGCACGTGCCACCTTGCCTGGCTTTAAATCTATTAATAACATTTCTGTGATGATAAAACTAGAGCAGGCTGCCTCTAAGAATTTTTTTTTTTTTTTTTGCTTTTTTGTGACAAGAATGTCACTCTGTTGCCCAGGCTGGAGTGCAGAGGCTCAGTCTTGGCTCTCTGTAACCTATGCCTCTTGGGTTTAAGCGATTCTTCTGCCTCAGCCTCCTTAGTGGCTGGGATTACAGGCATCCATCCACTAGTAGGCCCAGCTCATTTTTGTATCTTTAATAGAGATGGGGTTTCACCATGTGGCCAGGTTGGTCTCGAAGTCCTGACTCCCGTGATCCACCCGCCTTACCCTCCCAAAGCGCTGGGATTACAGTTGGGAGCTGCCACACCTGGCCACTATAAGCACTTTTAAGAGATAGTGTGTAGCTCTTAGTAGTAGTAAGATCATTCTGTTCAGACATAAGAGAATGCCGAAGTGGAACAAATACATTTCCTAACAATATCTGGAGATATTTTAATTGAATGAAAGTGGCAGCAGTAAGCTCTTTGGGCCTTACAGGAAGCATTCAAACAATAATGAGTAAAAAATCTTGGGTAATGAAGCAGAAAATGCTTTTGACTAAAGCCTTTCTGGCTTGCCTAATGTTTTTGACCAGAGAAATAAGAGAAGGAATTAAACAGGCAGTGGGGCATGTCACCATCACTGCTACATCAGCCTAGTGATTTTCAACAATAGTGGCTAAAGAGCCTGTGTGTGTTATAAAGCTGTTTGAAAATGCTCCTGCTGAATGAAATAACTCAAGTATTTTCTTTGTCTAGAATATTCAAAGTCATCTGGGTGAGGCCCTAATCCAAGATTTAATCAACTACTGTCTGAGCTACATTGCAAAAATTAAACTCCCAAAGAAGAGGTGGGTTTGCTTTTAACAAAGAGGTATCACTGGAATATAGTGTAGTGTCATATGGTGGGTTAATGTGGACATTCTCCAAATAGGATTCTAAAAATCACCTAGAGTTTTAAAAACAAAATCTGATATTTAGCCCACCCCTTGGCAATTCTGATTCAGAAAGCCTGAGAGCCGAGCTTGGAAATCCACGTTTTCTCTGGCTGCCCTGGTGCTACTGGTTCACAGCAGGGTTTAGTGGCCACCATGGGCTGGCTGATTTAAATCCAAAGCCCAGCAGTTAGTAAGGAATAATTGGAAACAGTCCACAAAGCCAACGGTATAAGAATGATTGCATAAATGATGGCTTGTCCACGTGACGGAAATTTACACAGCCATTGAAGACCGTATGCTTTCAAAGGCTGTCAGGGAGAGGAAACAGCAGTGAAACAGCATGTGTACAAAAAGCAACAGAAACTAGGTCTGGATGGCTCACACAGGAAGCCTTCGGGCCAGATCCATGTAAAACACAAATCTGGTTGGCCTGTAATGTTAAAGAAAATCTGGATGAATTGCCATCGTGTAAAAGTTCCATTTTACATTTGTTTTATTATTTATTTTTGAGGCAGAATCTTACTTTGTGACCCTGGCTGGAATGCAATGGCAGGATTTTGGCTCACTGCAGTCTCCACCAGGTTTAAGCAATCCTTCTGCCTCAGCCTCCCGAGTAGCTGGGATTACAGATGCATACCACTGTGCCCAGCTAAGTTTGTTTTGTATTTTTAGTAGAGACAGGGTTTCATCATGTTGGCCAGGCTGGTCTCAAACTCCTGATCTCAAGTGATCCACCCATCTCAGCTTCTCAAAAAGCTGGGATTATAGGTGTGAGCCACCGCGCCTGGCCCTATTTTATGTTTTAAATATCTGGATTTCTGGCTTCTGTTGGCAAACTTGAGATCTGGCTACTCTGGGTCCCCATTCCCCCCTGACAGCTGTCACCTGAATAGCTGCCACCTGACCCTTGGATATGGGTCCAGTCTTTCACAGACTGCTGCTCTAATTTTCTGACTCCGTAGGCTGGCTTCCTTTTTGAGAGGGGGGAGGGGAGAGAGAGAGAGAGGATCTTGCCCTGTTGCCCAGGCTGGAGTGCAGTGGCATGATCAAAGCTCACTGCAGCCTCAACCTCCCTGGGTCAACTGATCCTCCCACCTCAGCTTACTGAGTAGGTGAGACTACAGGCTCATGCCACCACACCTGGCTAATTTTTTATAGAGGGTCTTGCCATGTTGCCCAGACTTGCCTCAAACTCCTGGCCTCAAGCCATCCTCCCACCTCAGTCTCCCAAATGTTGGGAATACATTCATTAGCCACCGCCCCTGGCTTCCATCAGTGTTTGATTTGGGGACCTATCTTCTGCCGCGGGTGCTATTATTATCTCAATTCCATTTTTAAAATAATAGTAATAAAAATGATGATGAACATAATGCCCACAGTAGAACGACTAGCAGGAAATAGACCCAAATGCTAACAGTGGCTGTTTCTTGATGGTGAGGTTACAGATGATTTCTTTGAAATACTTCTCATTTCCCCCTCCCCCCCAGTTTTCAATGCTTATTATGTAACACCTTAATCATCAGGGTTGGAAACATGTTTTAAGTGGCAATTCAATTTCAGGGCAGTCTGTACTTCAGAGGCTGCTTCACACTATTAGGATTCATATTCATAACCCGAGTGCCTCCTGCTCAGCACCTCCAGCCAGAGTGCAGGACGTCCCTTAGCCCAAGAGGCGGCCTGCATGAGACGGGCTGGACCTGCACTTGGTGATTGTTGCAGCTGGGTAGTGGGCACATGAGGACTCGTCCCATGCTGTTTACTTTTGTGTGTGTGAGAAATTTTCCATGGCAAAAAGATAAAATATGCAAATACCCCGGTTCAGTTCCATTTTACTTTGGGCCAAGCACTAAGGCAGGATTAAAAAAAAGAAAAAAGGCATAGTCCTGTCCTCAAAGAGTGTATCATCGAGCGAGGGAGAGGAATGTGGAGAGCCGTAATTGCAGAATAGAAGAGACCTGGTGAATCCAGGAGGCAGAACTGAGACCCACCGTGACCCACATCTTTCCACATTTGCCTGACAACACTAACCACATGCTCCGCGTTGGCCAGGCAGATGCATTAAGACTCAGAGAGCCCAGGTCTTCTGGGTGGAACTGAATGCTTGGTAAACCACCTTCATCCTTCTTTTTTTCCTTTCTTTCTTTCTTTTTTTTTGAGCTGGAGTGGCACGAGCTCCATTCACTGCAACCTCCACCCCTTAGGTTCAAACGATTCTCCTGCCTCAGCCTATTAGCTCGGATTACAGGCACTAGCCATGATGCCTGGCTGATTTTTGTATTTTTAGTAGAGATGGGGGTCTCACCATGTTGGCCAGGCTGGTCTCGAACTCTTGGCCTCAAGTAATACGCCCACCTTGACCTCCCAAAGTGCTGGGATCATAGGTGTGAGCCACCATGCGCAGCCAGGGAAGGCTTTCTAAACTATATCAGCTTCTCTCTGTGCCTTGGAAATGAGAATAATAATATGTCCTTGAGTGAGGGGAAATGAATTGAGATCTTTTTCTGATCATTAGGACCCATAGCCCTAGGGTCACCCAGGGCATGGTCACCAGTCCCCTAGTGCCTTAGTGCACATGCGGAAGTAGTAGAGGACAGGCTGGGCCTCCGCCATCTCTGGGACAACCTGGACATGGGATTGAGAGAGATTTTTAGGCTTGCAATTTTTGTTACATCATTTGCCTCTTTCTCTGCAATTTGAGCACAGCCGGAGAGAGGATCCTGCTGATTGAGATTCTGCTGTTTTTGCTTTGATGTGTATTCATTGCTTCCCAGTTTGCAAAGTACTTTTACATAACTGGCACGTTTGATTTTCACGAGGCCCTTGGGAGGTAACCAGAACGAGTACCGTTAGCCTTTCTGTAGGTGAGTAAGAGGCAGCCCAGAGCCACACACCTCCTAAGAGGCCACACTGACATGGAATCAGGTTCTCAGCCCTGCACGTGGCATGTGGCCTTTCAGATGGCCAGTGCCTGGAGATCAAGTCTGTGAGATTAAAATAGTAGAAAAAAATCAGGGAAAATATTTCCTAGGGTTCCCAGGCATCAGCGTTTAGAATTGGAAGACACTTTTCACCACATAGTTGTGAGAGAACGCTTCAATTTCATCTGTCAGAATGATACCTAGCTTACAAGTGATCTGAACTTTTAAGAAACTGGGTGGTGGGGTTTTGTTTGTTTTGGTTGTGGGGTGTTTGTTTTTGAGACAGAGTCTCTGTCGCCCAGGTTGGAGTGCAGTGGTGCAATTTCAGCTCACCGCAACCTCCAGCTCCCAGGTTCAAGCAATCCTCCTGCCTTAGCCTCTCAAGTAGCTGGGACTACAGGCATGTACCACCATGTCCGGCTATTTTTTGTATTTTTGGTCAAGACAGGGTTTCATCATGTTGGCCAAGCTGGTACCTGGCCTTAAGGAATCTGCCCACCTCAGCCTCCCAAAGTGCTAGGTTTACAGGCGTGAGCCAGACTCAAACTGGAAACAGTGGAGAAAAAAAACTTTTTGTTTTTTGAGACAGGAGTCTCCCTCGGTTGGCCAGGCTGTAGTGCAGTGATATGATTTTGGCTCACTGCAACCTCCATCGCCCAGGCTGAAACCATACTCCTGCCTCAGTCTCCCAATTAGCTGGGAATACAGGCATGTGCCACGGTGCCTGGCTAATTTTTGTATTTTTTGTAGAAATGGAGTTTCACCATGTTGCCCAGGCTGGTCTCAAACTCTTGAGCTTAAGGCATCCACCTACCTTGGCCTCCCAAACTGCTGAGGTCACAGGTGTGAGCCACCACACCCAGCCAAAAGAACATCTTTAGACATCTTCATTTGAAGTGTCTAAACTAAGGTTCTCATTTTCTATGATCAAGTCAAACGTTTAGGAGCTGCCTGCCACTGGGCAAATTGAATTTCCTTAGTTATTACTGAGGCTCATTGGACAACTCTCAGAACTTTTTTCTGTGTAACTATGCTTAGTACTAACAGTCTATTCACAAGGTCAGTAGCAAAATAGGTGTCTGGTACATATATTTTCAAACTCCTCAGGGAGCTGACTGCTGTTGCCAGTGCTGAAATTCATTTTCATAGCTCTTTATTAACCATAAAATTCTCTGCCCAGTAGCAGCACCGTCCAACAGAAATAGAAAGTGAGAGCTGTGTATAACTTTCAATTTTCTGTAGCCACATTTTGAACAAAAAGGGGTGAAATGAATTTTAATAACATATTTTGTTTAGCCCAATACATCTAAAATATAACCTTTTTCTTTTCTTCTTTTTTTTTTTTTTTTTGAGACAGGTTCTCACTCTGTCATCCAGGCTGGAGTGCAGTGACTTAATCTCAGCTCGCTGCAACTTTTGCCTCCAAGACTAATGCAATCCTGTGTCAACCTCCTGAGTAGCTGGGATTGTAGGCACGCATCACCATGCCCAGCTAATTTTGTGTTTATTGTAGAGACAAAGTTTCACCATGTTGTCCAGGCTCAAAACATAACCCTTTTAACACAAAGTCAATATACAGCATGACTGACATGATTGCATTCCTTTTTCCTACTAAGTCTTTCAAATCTAATCTCAATTTCAGATTAGCCACATTTCAGGTCTAAATAGTCACAGTGGTTCATGGCTACCATATCACACAGCACAGAGCTGAGAAACATTGACCCCACCAGCCTCTGCTTTTTAGAATTTCCTGAGATTTTAGGCTCTTTATTTATGATGTTGCCCGAATAAATAATGTGTTTTGGGGAACCTCTGTCACCCTTTCATTCCCAGGGGTACTTTCATTGAATTCCGAAATGGGATGTTAAATGTGTCCCCTATTGGAAGAAGCTGCAGCCAAGAAGAACGCATTGAGTTCTACGAACTTGATAAAGTAAGTCTTTCTGAAATACCTTTGGTGAATGGCTGGGTTTATGAAAATAAGACAAGACATGGCCCGATGTGGTGGCTCACACCTATAATCCCAAAACTTTGGAAGTCCAAAATAGGAGGATCACTTGAACCCAGGAGTTCAAGACCAGCCTGGGCAACATAGTGAGACCTCATCTCTACAAATAATATAAAAAAAAAGCCGAGCCTGGTGGCTTGCATCTGTGATCCCAGCTATTTGTTTGGCTGAGGTGAGAGGATCACTTGAGCCTGGGAGGTTGGAGCTGCTGTGAGCTGTGATCATGCCACTGCATTCCAGCCTGGGTGACACAGTGAGACCCCAGCTCAAAAACTAAACTAAATGAGTAAGTAAATAAGATATTCACCTTATGGCCAGTAGTTAAAAGTATGCTTTCTAAACTGCAATACAAGAGATGGTATCTTTTTGTTTTTTCCAGAAAGAAAACATAAGACAAAAGTTTGTAGCAGATCTACAGAAAGAGTTCGCGGGCAAAGGCCTCACATTTTCCATAGGTATTGTATATATTGTCTGTGTTCCGGACTTGGACACCCATTTCCCAGAGTGTGTTGTGGGCCAGTAAGCTATCGATAATGGAGTATGCACGGTTTTAGGTGTGCAGGAAGATTACGTGAGCAGTCCAACCTGTAGACAAAAAGCAGCCACTCTCTTTTTTGCATAATCAGCCGTAATAGGACTTGCCTAGTCAGGAAACAGCTTCCAGGCTGTTGGGCTTGGTCTAAGTTCTTACCCGACAGGATTCCTCCTACCTGCACTTCTCTGGTCAAAAGAGGAGCATTTTGATTACTAGACTAGGAATTTCAGTCAGACGCAGTGGTTCATGCTTGTAATCCCAGCACTTTGGGAGGCCCAGGTGGGCGGATCACCTGAGGTCAGGAGTTCGAGACCATCCTGGCCAACCTAGTGAAACCTCATCTCTACTAAAAAATAAAAAAATTAGCATGGTGGTGTGCGCCAGTAGTCCCAACTAGCTACTGAGGAGGCTGAGGCAGGAGAATCGCTTGAACCCGGGAGGCAGAGGTTGTAGTGAACTGAGATTGGGCCACTGCACTTCAGCCTAGTGACAGAGTGAGACTCCATCCCCCCCCAAAAAAAGGAACTTCCCACACCTTTGGGTGGAAGAAAAGCACAATAATGAACTCTAAGAGAGACATGGAATTGAACCCCTCAGGTAAACTAGACTGATGTTTTGGAATAATGTAACGTTTCAACAGCAAGGAACCGTAGGAGCCACTTGGGTTGCTTTTACAGATCAAGAAACTGAGGCCCAGAAAGGAGAAGAGACTTGTCCAAGTTCACAAAACTGTTGTTTTCCTGGTGTCTAATGCAGAATTCTTCCTGTAACATGGACGTCTCAGGCTTGTCTTCTGCTAGAATATTCCTATCAGATGCTTCACACACCAATGTCTCTTGTCAGTGCAAATGAGTCATTGCTTAAAGCCTCCTCTTACTAGTTTTCATAAAGGTAGAGGTTGTAGGAAAACTGGAATGGCAAAGAGATTATATTTAACAGATGAGTGGGTGGGTTGTTCTCGTGAACTGGGAGATGGACATCTTTCTGACAAAGCTTTGAAAGGGTTTTTGTTGCTCATGACAGCTGCCTATAAATCACCTTCAGTGAAGATTTTTGTTTTTCCTCCAAAATATGCCAGATGCAGCCTGCTTCCAGGCATTTTCCACTGAGCGTGTGTTAGAGCTTGGGATAAGCACAGCAGAGTGAGGCTGCTATCAGATTTTTCATAAGCATGCTTCATTTAAACCACATGCTTGACAGGGCGCTTAAATGTAAATGCATTTCTCCCTCAGAGTTGGCACCCTGTGTCTCAATTTTAGACCGAGGTGAAATAATGCTGGAAAAAAACATAATGTAGAATGAATTTCTAGAGCCTGTCCATGAAGTAGTCCAAGTAGCAGACTAGGGTACTGAAAATCAACCTTGGCAATCCACTAACTGACAAAGAGTAAATTGTTTTTTCAGTGACGTATCATTAGCCTCTTTTTCACCTTTTGCTTTTGTGTCCTCCATCCCCACCCGGCAGGAGGCCAGATCAGCTTTGATGTCTTTCCTGATGGATGGGACAAGAGATACTGCCTGCGACATGTGGAAAATGACGGTTATAGGACCATTCATTTCTTTGGAGACAAAACCATGCCAGTAAGTAGGGAACTGTTTGTGCTGCTTCGTTGTTCCATTTGGGCTTGACTGACAAATGGGCTGTTTTTCCCACACCCGCACTTGACCCACCGGCCCTGCTCAAAGTGAACAGTGGCTTCTGTCCTGGAGATGGAGGGCATTCAGCCTCCTTTCCTTCTGAGCTCAGACCCCTGACACCTCCATGGAGGCGAGGGTCACACTGTGTGTTAGTCGATCCTTTCCAGTTTGGCTTTGGAGTTAAACATTGGCCACCCCATGTGCCTTCAAGATCACAAGTCCCCAGTGCTGCCGTCAAGCCCTCTGCGTTTCAAAGCTCTGGCTGTTTCTGTCTTACTTTACTGCACTGTATTTGTTCCCCTGAAGCATTCATTGAAGTTGAATGTGGGGGTTCATGAACTATGGGAGGGAATGATCTCATGAGCCTGAAACTCAGGAGAGGGCATTAGCGACAGTGAAGAGGCTGATCAGGTCCCAGACATCACACACAGTGGGTACTTGGAGCTGCCCCCAAGAGATGTCAGAAATCCCGAGTCCAGGGCCAAATCTAAACTGGGAATGGAGAGCAGAGCCCAGTGTTAAAGGCCGGGGCCAGCAGGAGGACTACATAGAAGAAATGTCCCCAGGCATCCTCTCCCTGGGACAAGGTGGATCCCCAGCAGGTCAGAGAGGCATTGCTGCCATCAAGGGCCCAGCAGCAGTTGCTCACCACCCAGCTTAGGGCCAGCTCCTTTTTTTTTTTTTTTTGAAACCGTGTCTCACTCCGTCACCCAGGCTCGAGTGTGCAGTGTTGTAATCTTGGCTCACTTCGAACTCTGCCTCCCAGGTTTAAGCAATTCTTGTGCCTCAGCCTCCTGAATAGCTGATATTACGGGCATGCACCACCACACCTGGCTAACTTTTGTGGTTTTGGTGGAGATGGGGTTTCACCATGTTGGCCAGACTGATCTCAAACTCCTGGGCTGAAGCCATCTACCCATTTCAGCCTCTCAAAGTTCTGGGGTGCAGGCATGAGGGACTGCGCCAGGCCCCATCACCTTTTCAGTCCCTCTCTTTGTCTGGGCCCCTCTGCTTCCCTCCCACATGCAGCCTGGGGGTGTTCATTACTTTGCCATCAGCAGGCCCCTTTCAGGTTCTCTCGCCATCCTGCATCCAGCAGGTGCCTCATAAATGCCGCATATTCAGAGTTTTTCATCCCCCCTGATCTCTGGTCCACTCGAAAATCCCTGCTGCTCTGCTAAGATCTGCCCATGAAAGGGGTGCCTTTCAGCAGGGTCCCCACGCCAGTCTTCCAGCATGAGGGGTGCTTGGGGATAGTAGAAGCTTGTTTGTTGCTTTCAGAATGATAAAACTGGAACCCATAAAGAGCAAGCCTTTTCCCAAGGTCACACAGCTAATGACAGAGCTGGTGGCACCAAAAGAAGTCTGCCTGTTCTTTGTACATTTTAAATGGCTTTATTGAAATATAATTGATAAAAGCTGCACATTTTTAACGTTCAGTTTCGTGAGTTTAATCATTGTGCCCCTTTGGTTTTGTGGGTGGTTTGAGATTTTTTGTTGTTGTTGCTATTGTTATAAGAACACTTAACATGAGATATTCCCTCTTAGCAAGTTTCTAAGTGCACAATATGTATGGTATTGTGAACTAGAGGCACTTCTGTTTGTCCAGCAGATCTGTTGAACTTACATATCTTACATACTGAAACTTTACACCCAT